CCTCAATCTGTTCTTCAGCTCAGCAAGTTGCCTTGATTAGCAGTGACATCATTCTCATGGGACAGTGCTTCCCACTGGAAGTTCTGGATATCTGACGCTGGAGGTTCTGGGATTTGGGTCTGCTCTCACCACAGTTGACTGCTTGGAAGCGGGGAGGATTTGATTTTGTGCCCGTATCTGGGTGACGTAGCAGCAGCTACGATATCTGAGCAATTAGTTCTCTGATCTGGGCTTAGAGGAAATCCGGGCTCATTCTCCATAATCATCAGCCATTTCCCACTGGTCTGAATTCAGAATCTAAAATCCGAATGAACTTGAAATAACTTCCACGAGAATCTGACTGGAATACAACTCGGGATGTGGGATGTCTGACTAGGGCGTTGACGCACCCACGGCGTCCCGGTCCCAAGCTCATCGAAGCAGTTTCCCGGGAAGGAATCAATTCTTGACAAAAATGTCCTGAGTTACAAGTAGGTTCCTGCATGTATGCGTGAGAAAATGGAAGCACATGAAGGAGAAAATACATTTCTAAATGTGCTAAGGCCGGTAATGGAAATAAGATCTCAATTTCGACGGACGCGGACCCCCAAAAATTCGGTGGTGGAAGAATATAGAGAAGTCGACTTATTTTGTATTATGAACATTTCGGCATTATCTGTGTGCGAACCATTCCTTTTTTGGATTTACGATCAACTATTTCTCGTCGAATCCCTAAAAAACTATTTTGCCTCGGAATGAAGAGAATTTTCCCGAGCGGTGATTTTAAATTGTCTATTTTTATTTCGTTGTGTAATTTTTTGTATCCTTTAACTTACTTTTTATTTGCCTTAGAGCATATGAGCTCGCAAGCAGGATTTCATCTTTTCAATTTCTGTTATCAATAATTTTGTAATCTCTTAACTATTTTTTAGATAATGCGAGAAATGTAAAATACAAAGGAAATTTGCAAAACCGCCCTTATAATCTCCCCTTTTTCTTAGATGTCTTTTTTGGTGTATATAAATTCGCTATATAGGACTGTGCAGATTTTATATTATTCAATAGGATCGGAATTTGAGTCCAGTTCTCAATACCAAAAGGTCAAATGTCCATACCGGGAATCATTAGCTCTTTCTGATGTCAGTGGCCTTGAAAAAGAAAATGATACATGATCATGGAATGTCTAGCTGACATATGTATCATGAGTTGTATTAACATACAGGTAGAACTGGGAGTTGAAAATGTGCATGCCTTCCAACCTTTTATTTCTGCCCACTATGCCAGCGCGGATTCCGTTGTATATGGTAATTTACCGAACATCTGTTTCCCCTATGAAGTTGGTCTCTTAATCTCGACAAACTCAATTAGGGTTTTTGTTGAGAAAATTGAACGTATATCAAAAACTCTCGGAAATGAAATGTGGCATATTCAACAGCAAAAATTGAAACCGGTTGTTTCCTTAGGAGGTAACTATGCGTTTTTTGACTAATATGCATTGGCTGTAGTCTAATTAGTGCTTATGACAAAATCTGGGTTCTCGCAAACAGGATTTCGGGCCTTTTGTTGGGCCTACTCCTTTTGAAACGCACCATTTAAAGGTACTTAGGCTTGCGGTATGGTAGTAATGTTTAATTCTCGGATGGATGCACCTTAAAAACGCGAGGTTTTAGGCCTAGATCACCGTCAAATTTCTAACACAGTACCAGTGGAAGGGTGATACGGTAAGAATGTGGTGAGAAGGAGAGAAATGGCGGTATGAATGGCAAAGAGACCCTATAACTATATAAAATAAAGCAATTAACAAAACTAGGGACGATTAAACAATTTCATCGCTTTCTAATCATTTTTATTGAAAAACGTAAGGCTTTTCAGAGTCAATTCCTAAAATTGCAAACCACTTAATTATTAAAGAATAATACCAGCGGATTACGATTAACAATTTTCCATCGGCTTTTCTAATCAATTTTATTGGAAAAAGTAGGCTTTTAGAGTCAATTCCTAATTGCAACCACTTAATTATTAAAATAACCAGGGATTAGTGGGTGCAAAATCCCCAGTGAAGTCGCCAAACTGTTTTCGCCCCTCCCCAAGAGTCAGGGATATGGGTTTCTGTCACTTGCAGGGATTTAATGAAGCTTTCCTCATGAAGATTGCATGCGCTATGCTTCATAAGCCTCAGGCTCTTTGGGTGCGGTTGCTTCGTGCTAAATACTATAGAGGTAGCACCTTGAGCCTGGTGAATTTTTTTGTCTCTAATGAATCGTGATTATAGAAGAATGTTAGGCGGGTTTGGCCTTCTATGCTGAATGAAGTTTTTTGGTGTATTGGGGATGGACAGAATGTTAGATTCTGGTTGGATAAGTGGGTATCCAACTTGGGCCCTCTCTACCTGCTTACTAATTCTCCCATTCCCTCTCAGGATATGTACAGGCCTGTTGCGGATTTTGTTGATAGCATTGGCAGTTGGAAATGGAATGTCTTTTCCCATCTGCTTCCTAATAATGTTCTTCTTAAAATTGCTGCTACTAATCCCCTCAACCCCATTTATGGTAAAGATAGCTGCTATTTGGGCCTCTATGCATCGGGTAATTTTACTGTAAAGTCAGCGTATTATGCTCTAAATAGTTGTTCTCATATGCTTAAGGAGACAAAATGGAGCCTTGTTTGGTGCTGGAAGGGGCTGGAACGTATCAAAGCATTTCTATGGTTAGCCTTACACAATAGGCTTTTGACCAGCATAGAGAGATACAGACGACAACTTACTAACGATGCGATTTGCAACAGATGTCTGCTGCATGAGGAGAGTTCTCTTCACCTGCTGCGTGATTGTTATACTGCCTCTAGTATCTGGTTGCAGCTAATTCCGGCAGGTTATTTGAATAATCCGGCAGGTTATTTGAATAATTTTTTCAATGTGCTTGATACTGATTTATGGATTATTTCAAACCTCTCTACTGCTACTGTTTTGGTTGATGAGGTCCCTTGGCACACTGTCTTTGGGGTGACGTGTTGGTATTTGTGGAAGTGGAGAAACGATTTGCTCTTCGGTAACGGTGATGCCTTGCCATTTAATCCGAGTAACTTCATTCTGGGCTTTGCTAAGGATATAATACAGGCTAATTGGGAGGAGAGTAGCAGTCGACCTTCAATTCATAAGCAATGGCAGTGGCTGGGTTGGGCGCCTCCTGATCCTGGCTGGTGCAACATCAACACTGATGGATCTTTTATTAATGCTACTAGGCTTGCTTCAGCAGTTGGTCTTGTCAGGGATAACATGGGAGCTTGGCAGGCAGGTTTTGCAGTTAATATTGGGGCTTGCTTTATTTTGGTGGCTGAGCTTTGGGCTGTTTTCTATGGGCTGGAGCTTGCTTGGAACAACGGGTATAAGCAGATTATTCTTGTGGTGGATAACAAGTTGGTGTGTGATATGCTTATTGGTAAATTGCTTGTCCGCATCCTTTTACGGGTCTGTTTTGCAGCATTAAAGAACTGCTAAACAGGGATTGGAGATGGGCCATTGTTCATGTCTATCGCGAGTGCAAACATGCTGCTGACTGGCTTGCTCGTTTTGGCAGCAAACTAAGCTTGGGTGTCCACTATTTTGATTATCCTTCTAATGGTTTCTCTAGCTTGCTTGTACATGATGTCTCTGGAGTAAGCTGTCCAAGACTTGTAACTGTGGAGGCTTCTGTTTTATCTTTCTTCTTATTCCAAAAAAAGAAAGAAGAATAAAAGCTTACTATATATCAAGACCACACGATGTCTTTTTTTGTTATTTAGGTACCCAATATTTGTTATTTTAATAATAAAATACTACAAAGAAACTATTGAATTTTTGTTTTTATATATATATATATACATATAAAAGTGGGAATGGTAAGAATTTTAATTTGATTGGTTAAAAAATAAATGTAATTAATCTTAATTGGTCATATTAATTTCATGTTTAAATCGAATTTTAATTTATTTGGTTAAAAAATAAATATAATTAATTTTAATTGGTCATATTAATTTTATATTTAAATCTAAATTATATTGGATAAAGTAAAAAATTATATTATTTACTATATAAAGTACATATTAAATATGATAAAGTATAATATCTTTAAGAATTTTAAATTTTATTGGTACAGAAAATAAAAATAATTTTATTTTGATTGGGTATATTAATTTCATGTATAAATCTCAATTATATTAATAAAATAAAAAAATTATATTATATATTGTTAATGTATATATTAAATATAGTTAGAATATAATATCTTTAAAATTTTGAAATTTTATTGATTTTAATTTTTATTATTTATGTTAATATCCTATTGAAGACTTCTCACTTTATCATTATTGATGGTTGAGATACTAATATTAATTTTTTATTTTTTATTTTGGTATACTATCAGAAAAATTTTTTTAATTTGATTACCAATAATTTATGCAAGTATTTATTTTTATATATGGCAAGACCTTGGATCAACTGCTTCTAATTATTTATTTTCAATTTTATAACTATTTCATTTTGAAAAAAAAAATCTATTGTAAAGAAATTATTAAAAATTTTATCAAATACTAGATATGGTGGTGGTTTGCACCAATTTTTATGTGTGATAATTACTACTAAAAATATTGAACTTTTATATTGTCTTTGAAAAAATAATAAAAAATTATATAAAAAATAAATTAGAAGTAATCATTCTACCCGGTATATTCAAAGAGTAGTATATTGAAAGAGTAATAATGTGCAAAATTTGTAAACTGGATGCCCGAAATATAAAAGTTAAATTATAATAATTTTACAATAAGACGGAAAGTTCAGTGGTTCTATAAGTTACTGAACTAGTTCACATGTGTGTGTTGGCAAATTAATGTAGATAGAACTCTTATCACTTATGTTACATAAGCAGACAAATGAGATGATTACTTCCTTACATGCATGCAGTCAAACACCTTATTTTTAACGCCCAAACAAAAACAAATTCCTCCATTAGCATATAACAAGCGTGCCTGCTGCGTTTATCCAACTGCATAACTTTTTAAGAAAATGTCATTTTCTTCACATGAAATTGTCCTTACCAGCTCCCCTCATGGCCCCATCACTGTCTATGACACAGTCTCAGGCACCACCCTAGCTCGCTTCAGCGGCAGCCGGTCACCCCGCCACGGCCTTGTCCTTGCAGGAAAGGCTTATATTGCTGCCTCTCACATCTCCTCAGCCACAGCTTCCGGTTCTATTCACCTCTACAACTGGTGGTCTCCAACAGCTTTGCACCATCTTCCCGTCCCAGAACCTGTGGCTCCACTTGCTTCCACTCCTGATGGCTTGTTTTTATTTGCAGGTGGCCTTTCAGGAGATATCTTTGCTCTTTCAATTCCATCAGGAAACATTATCAAATCAGTTCCTGCGCATCACAAGCCTGTATCTTCTCTCAAAATCAGTAGTGACTCGTCCCTCCTGATTTCAGGAGGCGATGATGGCGTGATTGTAGTTATGGCAATCTTTCAGCTTCTAGATGCATCAGGAAATGAGAATCCAAGTGATTCGATATTGCATAGCTTTGTTGCACATGATGGTCCTGTGACAGCCATCAGATCTTGCACGAGGTTAAGTCTTCCTGCCATAGTTTCTTGTTCATCAGATTGCACTTGTAAGCTATGGAGCCTTCTGGAAGGAGAAAACCTACACACAGTGGCATTCCCATGTGTGATCTTAGGCAAGGGGCAAGCACTATTCGCCTAATATTTTTTTTTTTTTCTGTAACATTTTCGGTTTCGCTCAATTACTAATGTTCTTCGCTCCTAATTCTAGGTATTGCTCTAGACACAATGGGGGCAGAGTTCTACGCTGCAGGATCGGATGGCTTGATTTACAAAGGATCCTTTAAGGCTGAAAGCAGAAAAGAAGCGAGTCGGAGTCGTGAATTGGCCATATGGGCTGAAAGACATGGTGGAGCTGTTGTATCGGTGGTTGTGGTGAATGAAGGGAAGAATTTGGTATCTGCTGGAGAAGATGGGAGTGTGTATATATGGGAAATAGAGAGAGGGCAGGTGATTATGGTTCTAGGAAATAACATGGAGGGAATTAGTGATGTAGTAGTAGCTAAAGGGATTGGAGAAGGTAAAGGGTATTATGGAAATGGAATAAACAATGAAATGAATGAATTTGTTGGTGGAAGTTTAGGGTTATCAGGTAAAGAACTTAGCTCCAGACCCATAAAAGAAGCAATGGACATGGAAGATGTTCTAAATGTGGCAGCAAATGATAGAAGAAAAGCCATTGATATGCTTGAGTCTGCAATTGGAGTATATGAGAGGCTTTTGGAGCTCATTCTCAAGGAGGCCAAAGGAAGCACTAGCAAGAATGGTGAAAAAAGGAAGTGACATGTAAACATATCATAAATAAATAAAATAGAGAAATTTCATGGAAGTTTTATATTTTTTCTTCTTTACCTTCAGGAATGGAAACCATTGGTAATGCGTGTTAATAGGTTATTTGGTAAGTGCAATTATTGTGTACACCAAGCATTAATACCTTGCAGTTAAAAGCAACTCTTCAACTGGAAATATGAATCACAGTTTGGCATTTGAACCTTCCAAAATTGGTCTTCCCACAGAAATAATCTGAAGATGCTAAGAATTCATAATGGATAAGCGATTAGGTGGAGTAAGCATAATTTGTTTAAAAGGAAAAAAATAAAATAATAAACAAACCAAACCAAAACAGATCAAAATGCTGTGAGTGTAATTTCGATTCAGTACGGTTACTTTCTCGGAAAAAAGAAATAGGAATATAGTATTCAGTTCGGTTAGGTTAATTTCAAACTGATCCCAAGTCCCAACCAACCAATGCTCACCTCCCTGGTCAATTAAACCAAGATCAGCAATAAATATCATTCCTCGTAATCACTTTATAAGTATCATACTTCATATCTGCAAACTGGAAACGTTCATGGTTTCCACCGGCAAATTTTTGCCAGAAGGGAAGGCCCTAGTGATCAGATTGTTAAAAATTCCACTGTTATATAAACCTTCTCCATTACTTTCAACAGAAGAATTAACATGTTAGAATAATACAAATAAATGGAGAAGTTCCCCGATCTTACAACATACAAGGAATTTCATCTGCAAAAATAAACAAATTACTTGCAGATTCATTTGCTCATTAACTATGAAGTGGGAAAAACTAAAATCTTTATAACATGAATAACGTCCGTATATATCTGAGGATCTTGGTAAGGGAGTGATCTTTGTTTGAGCATAATCTCACAATTCATACCACCATCAAAAGTCAAACAAGGGAAAAAAAGGTCTTCACTTGTGTCCCTCGCTGCACTTCGTTCATTGACAATATATAAAAAGTAAATAGAGAAATAGTATTCAGTCGGTATAGGTTAATTTCAACTGATCCCAAATGTTCTTCCTCAAATTTCCCAATTACTCCGAAGTGGTGACAACCATACACCTGCGGTCAAATTAACCAAAGAAAATATCAGTCATATTATAAAATATACATTCCTCGATAATCACCTTAATATAAAAAAAAAATTTTTGTTGGATGGCATTACTTTCTTTTTTTTCATGCAAAACATGTGTGGAATACGTTCATGGTGCATTTTTTTTCTCCCCCCACCTCGTGCTCTAAATATTTTTTTGCCTTAGATGTGAGGGTTCCTCTTATTGTGATTCAGGTTATTTGTTTTTTATTATATATTTATTTAAAACCACATGTATATATAACACATTTCTCATTACTATTTCAAATTCAGAATGAATTTTTTAACATGTTTTTAGAATTTAATACAAAATATTTTATTTGTTAAGAAGTTTCCCCGAATTTTTCTTTTTCAATATATTACTAGAGGAATGTTCTCCTGCAAAAAATAAAAACAAAATTACTTGCAGATTTCATATTGCTCATTAACTATGAAGTGTAGGGAAGGAAGAGCGCGGTAAAATCTTATATATATTTTCTTTTTTATGAATAACGTCCACGATTATTTAAATATATAAGAAGGAAATCTTTTGTTAAATTTTTAAATTTTTTGTGTTATAAGGGCGATTTGTGATCTTTGTGTTGTGCATTTTTTAATATATATATTTTCTCACAATATACATAATCTTCCCATCTCATCATAACACGTCTATTAACAAGGGTAAAACAAAACCGCCGCTTTTTCACTTTTGTTTCCCTTCGCTTTGTTCAATCTTATCGTTTTTTCATTGAACAAATACTCATTATTAAATAATAAAATAAAAAAATTATAAAGGGGGTGAGGTAATTATTATTAAAATAATTTTTTTTTTTTTCAATAGTAGTGGTATTATGTGAAATTATATAAAATAAATTATAGCTAAGCCTTGGGGAAGGGATGGGTCGATGGACAAATGTGGAAGAATACAAACATAGAGAGGGGTGTGGGGACACGCGTGGGGGGAAGCAAACACAAGAAACATTTTACGGATTTGGGACGGGTGTGGAGAAAGTTATAAACTATAGCATTGTACAATTAAAAACAAAAGAACTGACATTTTTAATATATTTGCTTATTCCTCATTGTGATAGTTTTAAAAAGGACATTGAACAGCAATACAAAATTATTAAGCTGAACAAAACAAAGCCAAAAACATTTATATTTGTAAGAGTGTTTTATTTATGATGGCTCTCCTACATCTCTCTCTTAATATTTCTTAACAAGAACAGAATTCAACATATTTTATATGTTTAAAAAACATGAAATATAAACAAGAATAATTAGAATAATAAGGACATAAGTAAAAAAATTGAGTTGACAAGAAAATTATTTTGGCTATCTCTGACCTATGGTCCTCACTTTATTGTGAGTTATTTGCTCATTATTCTTCACAATCTGGGCCGGACAAAAATATCAAGGTTTCTTGCTGCGCGCGCAGAGTGGAGGAGGGGTGTAAAGTACTTGAGAGAAGGGTATAAATTTAAATTCTTCATTATTTTTCTCTTTTTAATGTTTATTTTTTGACAAGCCCCTATTAGGGCGTCCACCTACTCTACAGGTGAAAAAGAATATGAACACATATAAGGAAATGAGACCAATGTAAAGTCAATTCACAAAAAAGCAGCCAAGACAAAGTGAAATTAAATATAATCCAAAAGAAATCATAGGAACATATGATATATTGTATTTATATGAATTTATCTCTCTTGAGAAAATTTAAACAAGGGCCAACATAAAAAAACCAAAAAACAAACATAATTACTAACAAAGACTTAATAACAGCACCAAGCATAGAGAAAAGCAAATTATAAAGAACGATTAATGTTATGAAGTAAATTATAGTAAAACAAAGATATTCTTTAACCTACCATCGAAAATCCATTCCTTCTTTGGAAGTGAAGATCCAATTAAAATAAGCTAACTCACCAAAAACAAATATAAAGACATCTGAGAAAAGCGGTATTCACAACATATAACTGCTTCAGAAGCCAAGATGTCTGTTCACAATGAAGAGAAAAAAAGAGTTATTATTATTATTTTATTTTTTAAATCCACACGATAAAAATATATATCAAAAAATTATAAAGAGCAAAAAAGTACTGAATTGAAAACGATTGACAAAAAAACAATAAACAAATATAAAAGAAAAAATAAAACAAAAAAAAGTTGTAAAATTAGAAATGGTTAGCCCAACTAGCTAGTCCTTTGAATCTTAGCACATCATTTATATATATAAAGACTACTTTTAGGTCAGCCCCTGATTTCAATTGTTGGTACTTTTTGGATTTATATTATATTTTTTGATGCTCTTAGATAATGAGCAAATCTCATATATTGAATAACCCCTAACCCCTCTCACCACATTGCCCACACTCGTCGCACCTCCCAATAACTCTTTTTTATAGTGGGGTGTCGCAGTGAGTGGATCGGGGAAAGTGATGAATAGTATTATAGAAAATGAAAATTTTTTTAGTTGTTTTTAAGAGTATATTGCAATTTTAGTAGAAAAAATTAAAAGAAAAGTAAAACTTGAGGTTCAGAATACAACTGTATCAGATCATTCAAAAAAATAAAATAACCATTCCTATTATTATATATATATATGCTACCTTGAAAATGTTCATACAAATGAGTAAACATAGATACACCTGAGCACCAAGAAAACTTTACGGATTTACTTGTGAAGTATAACTTGCTGCATCAAGACTGCTAAAATGCTACCCATTGATATGTTAAGGACATTGACAGCATCATTATTAAGCTGCAAACAAAGCAAAAACATAATGTAAGAGGTATGATGGCCCACATCCTAAACCAAGCAATTCAAATTAGCTGAATACAGTAATTAGATAGGCTGTAAAATTGAGTTGCAGAATTGGCATCCTGACCATGGTCCACTATGGACAATTTATCCACAACTCCGCAAAATATCAAGTTTCTTCTCAATGAATGTAGTACTTGAGATTCATTTCCAAACAATGCATATTTTGAAGCCCCTATTAGGCAGTCCACCACTCTACAGGTGAAAAGGTTGCACATATAAGGAATGCTGTAAGTCATTCCAAAGCAAGCAAGACAAGATGATTAATTTATCCAAGATCTAGGCTGATTGAATAAGAACATTCTGGAAAATCAGGCCCAAACACACTAAATTACTACAGACTTATAAGAAAGGCTGAGAAAGCATATGGTTAATGTATGATAAATTAAGTAAACAAAGATATTCTTCCTACCCATCGAAATCCTTCCTTCTCTTGGAGTGAAGCACCAATTATGCTCTCACCAAAATTAGCAATCTGAGAAGCTATCACACATATAACTGCTTCAGAAGCAAGTGTCTGTTTCACATGAAGGAAAAAGGATATTATTAGAACCCCGATAATTTATATCAAAATATAAAGGCAGAAAGTCTGAATGAAACGTGACAAAAAACAATAAACAATATAAAGAAAAATATAACAAAAAAGTTGTTAGAATGGTTGCCAACTAGCTAGTCCTTTGAATCTGCTCATATTAAAGACTACTTTTGTAGGTCAGCCCTTGGATCAATGTGACTTTTGGATATATAATTGATGCCTAAGATAGAAACCAAATGATAACTAATTCAATTGATGTGGAATAACTTAAGGGTCCATATGGATCAGTGTGTGTATTTGAAATGAAGTTGGGTTTTGCATTTTAAGTGAAAAATTAAAAGAAGTAACATGAAGTCAAATCAAATGTTCAGTCATTTCAAATAACTACCCATCCAAAAGGACCCTAGGAGTTACCACCAAAATCCAGTTGAGAAGTTATTTGCAAGTTCCACAAGTCTAAATGTACTAGAAGATATACATCTTTAGGTTTTCCCTTACAGCAAATAATCTAGTTGTCCAAGGAAAATATGCAAAGAAGAAAACTTTTACTCTGCAAAGGGGGTTGACCATAAGCATCATAATAGACTAAAAACAAATGGGGAAAATATGAGGAGATAAATTAATATCTTTGCATATTACAAAAAATCATATCTTAAGCTGGAAGTCGCTTGACAAGCATTAGCATTAACTTAGCAATATTGGGGAAAAATTGGAGCACATAAAACTAGGAAGATGCCTAAATGAGGAAGCGCAATGGCAGCGGTCGTTAGAAATCTACAAGGCACAGAAAAGGGCATGCGATACACCTAAAAAATGAGACAACTTATGGTGCTAATTGCCATTTGCTTATGTTTTTGCCCTTCTATTATTATTATTTTTTCTCTTACTTTGTTTATATAATCTTTTTTATCCACTAGATCTAACATGGAGCTAGGATTTGGCAACCCTTATCATGAGGTGCATAGTCTTTCCCTCAACCTAAGCCAGACAAATTTCGAATACTGAGTATCACATCCAATAGAAGGCACAACAGAAGGAAACATCCTGAGCATGGCCGAATTTTAGGCCTTTCTGGTATTGTGTGCGACACTTCTGTTCCTCCCATAAGAAACCTCATGGTAGGGAGATACATTATTGGCATCTCAGCCCCATAGTGTCCACAGGGCTCCTACCATATGGAGATATCAACTCCTTTTGCCCAAGTATGATGCTTGTCTTCTAGTTTACCACTAAGGATAATGCACAATATATTTATAGATCCAAATCATAATAATATATTTACAATATAAATATAGTTTAAAATATGGAGAAAAGTTGATCCAAACATGACAGGCCATTAACACCATAATTTGTCTTAAAAGAAATGTCATAACCAACAAAAAAACTAAAGATAATGAGACGGTAGTGAAATGTACCTCGCGCAGTAAAGTTGCAATAACAGCAAGAAGAATTGATGCCAACAATCCAGCTACTGTTCCCTCAACACTTACAGCCCCTTCCGTTCCCCTTGGAACTACCTTAAATGTCGTAACAAGATACCTGCTCAAACCACCCAAAATTCAGAACAATAAACTCAGCAACAGTCTTATAGGCAAGGGGTTAACCGAAATGAAATAAAAGAGATATACACATGTATGCATCTTGTCAAACAGGTAAAAAATTATATACATTTAAACAAAGACCAAAAAGAAACAATCTAAAAGTGCCATAAAGAATATGCAATTCACACAAATGTTGCCACAGCAAATCAGACGGCATAGAAATTGTGCTTTCTCTTCAAGTGAATAAAATGAGACTCAAATAAATAGGTTTAGTTTTGGTACTTGTATAATTTCATCATCTAGATTAAATAGTTTAGGCATCTTATCACTTAAATTTTAAGCCTAAATCTAGATTAAGAGAATATTAAAGAAGAAAAGAACAAGAAAGAAAATGAAAGATAATAGATACTTGCTATGACAGGAACATGTGCATTATTCTTCTTCTTTACCGTTACTTTTTCTTTTCCATTTCCCAAATCAAAACCTTCTCATCTCTTTCCTCTTCATAAATAGTTCAAAAACTGAAGTGGGTTCTCCAATGTTAAAATACAGATTGCGTAAGGTCATGCCAGAACCAAAAAATTGCATTCTTAGACATGCACCCAAAACATAGTGCCATAGGAGGATACAGAATCAAGTAATTGGGAACATTATGTTTTCCAAATCTCTTGCTTTTGAAAATCAGAAAATAGTAGTGAAAAGAACGTCACCCTCATGCTTGAAAAAACCCTCTGAACAAGAAAGATACAGCTCCAAATTGATTATAGTTCATATGAAAATTTATTAAATCATTGCAAAGATTTGCATCATTCATTTCGTTCTCCAAAATAGTATAGCTATGTTTCCATAACATTCACATATATAATGCCATATACCCCTTTGACAACCCTTGTTAGCTGTTACTGCTCAACAGATAACTATAAACAGAGGAGGAAAACAAGAAAGTTTTACCAAGCAATACAATGATATTATTTCGCAGATATCCTTAAAATTAAAGCAAAGAAGAAGAAGAAGAGATGCCATCATTATAACCTAGTGCAATAGTAGCATATAGATCTGCATATGCCCAGTTATCCAAAAACAAATTCCATATAAACCCTATGTGTTTACTATTAGACAACTCAAGCACACACCATTGATAGGAAGACAGTGTCTGCATCACCCTAAAAAGTCCAGTAAAAGTCATACAGAAAGTTTCTACATCTTCCACTTCTGTGAAGCCTGTATTGTTTATTCAAGTCCTGAACTCCCTGTTTCTCATCTGGTGCGCAATCTTAAGCAAGATAATGCCTTACTACCAGGAATTTGATGACGATCCATTAAAGCAGAATCACATCACAGCCATTATGGCATTCCATATCATGGTAACGTCAGTAGAATAAAATGCTAAAATCAATTACCAGTCTGTTTCTAAGTTTATGAAGACTACATCTGGATAATCTGTCACCTTGAACATAATTCAGAGATCCAAACAAAATTAGTTGATGGGTTAGCAATATACAATATCCCTCCAAAGATCTTTCAACAATGCATGTTCTCCTACTACATTAAAACTTTCATCAATTTGGGGCATGCTAATCAAATGTTGAAATCATAACTACTTCACCTAATTCAATTCCACACTCAAAGATCTACGGTGTACATAACCTCATTTCAAATGCTTTTATGAACTGAAATTGTAATTGACCTAGGGAAATAATCTAGCTTAGATACATATACCATAACAAATTTAAGTGTAGAACATCATTGGTGATAATGAGAAATAGCTTGGAGGAAACAATACAGCAGCAGCGAGAATATTTCAGGTAAAACTTATACAAGTTCAAATTTTTATGTTAAATCCATCAATCCTCACTATGGACGAGCTGAAGAACTAATACCTAACTAAAAGACTGCACTGAAATGAAAGACAATGAAGTTTAAGATTCAAATGATTAAATTATGCATGAATAAAAGAAGTAAATGCAGTTAATTTCTATAAAAACACACACAAACACACACAGAAGCATTACTTACGTAGTTTTGCCATATGCCTTCCCTATCTCACTCGAAACGGTATCACTCAACTTAGTACAGAAACTGGCAACAAATCCAAGTTTCCAAAGACGAGAAAATGCCATTCCTCCAACTCCATTTATTGAAAGAAAAGCGCACACACAACCAGCAGCACTAGAACCAATCACACTGCCTGGTCCCCTTCTTCCTCTCCTCTTCTCAGCCACTCCTTGTGCTTCCTTTTGCGCCATTTTAACTTTTGTAGCTGCAGTGCCCTGAAAGTACAACAATATAAAAACAAAAAAATGGCCCAATTTCTTAAAAAAAAAAAAAACCCTTGAATAACTAATCAATCAGTTTATTAATATAACACATAAAAACAATTATAGAACAAGGCCAAATAAATAACAATTCAAGAAAAACAAAAAACAATTGAAAATTGTAATCAACCACAAAACCCATTAAAAACAAGATAAGAAACATATAGAAGAGCCACCAATATGTATATACATATAGGCTTGAACTCACTATAACGAAATAAGAGGCAACGAGGAGGAACCCAGAGGACCCAAAAGCACGCCAAGTGAGAGTACCCAAAAGAAACGCAGCGCAAATGCCCGAAAGGGAAAGCCCAGTGACCAGAATAGGAGACCCCATAATGAATATCAACAAGTTGTTGAGGAGAGCGGATTTCCAAGTGGGTGGCGTTGCTTGTATCAAGTTCATTGCCTCCGATAGAGCTCCCTGCATTGAGATCGCATGAGGTCTATGGGAAGGTAACATTTTTGAAAATTTAGGAGAAGGGTTAGTATTGAAATTGAAAATTAGGGGCTTCTTGAGGTAGATTGGAGGTTTTGGGAAATGGAGAGGAGGGAAGAAAGCGTGACTGGAGTGAAAAGTTTTAATTGAAACTGCCATTTTTATGGTCCTTTTTTTTTTTTTTTTTTAAAATTTAGGAGAAAGGGTTTGTAAAATTGAAAATTGAAAATTAGGGGGGCTTCTTGAACAAGGTAAGATTGGAGGTTTTTGGGAAATGAAGAGGAGGGAAGAGCCGTGACTGGAGGTGAAAAGTTATATTGATAAACTGCCATTTTTATTGGTCCTTTTTTTTTTTTTATTTTTTGGTTTTTTTTTTTTTTTTTTGGACCTCTTAAATCTTAATGAAGCTGAAGATAAATGGTTTGAAGCGTGTTAGGTGGAATTTGATGCATGAGCAAGTCCATTACAAAATGGGCTGAACTTACTACAATTCCCTTACTGTATTAAACTATTAATTATTGGACTTTTTGTTCTTGAAAAATTGGTGAGTTGAATTTTACGTACGAGTTTGAAGTTTAAATTTGGAATATGCTTTTTTTTTTCTTTTTTGGGGATTGAACTACTAAATAAAATACACCAATAAAATAGCATTTTAAAATTTGACGCCATTTACTAATAAATTGTTGGAATGAGTAAGCAACTTCCATTAATCACCTACAGATTCTAAAAAAAATAATTGATGCCATATTATAAAAAAAAACATTAAACCAAGTTTAAAATTAAAAAGGAGATTCTTCCATGCGAATATAATTAGGGGTGGCTACGGTCCTGAACCGCCGATTTTGATTTCAAAAAATGTGGAACCGAAATCGAACCGATAACTGACGATTTTGATTTCGGTTTAGAATCGAATGGTTATAGTTCTGGTTATGGTTCTTTAATGGTTTCAAAATTGACGATTCCAACCGATTCTCCAATCGATTGTCCAGTGAATCGGATAATTATAAAATAAAAAATTAGAAAATAGTTTTTGTTGAAAATTTAAAATTTAAATATTTATAAAATAATTTAAAAAAAAACTTTAAGAAAAAAATTTTATAAAAGGGCTTGAACTTTTAAAAAAAAAATGGCTTGGACAATAATTAGATATTGGACTTTAGAGAAATTCTTGGACAATAATTAGATATTGGACTTTAGAGAAATTATTTGACAATAATTTGGATAATTATAAATGGGAGAGCTTAGAAAGATTGGAGAGTAGAGGGTAATAAAGAGAAATAAAAATTTGTTTGAGGATAAATGAAATAATGGATATTTATAGTAAATCCAAAAAATCAACTTTCTACAAATACCCTTAAAACTAGCAATTATATAGCTGTTAGGATGGTTAATTTGGAAATTTCATAAAAATTAAAAAATATTATGTTGAAACTATCGGTTTGAACCGATGGAACCACCGGTTCCGATTGCAAAAATTGCCAATTTCATCCGGTCCACAATTCCTCAAAACTTAAAATCGAAACCGACCGCAAATCCCCATTTCTGATTTTGGTTCCTACCGATTCAGAACTGATAGCTCCAGTTCCAAAAATCGAAAAATGACCATGCCTAAATATAATACATCCCAAAAGCTTGATTTTTAGGAAGGTAGGTTAAAGAGCACAAGGATTTTTCACTTCCTTAAATCCCTAAATATAATACAAAGAGATTTTATTACTTTAAAATCCCAAAAGCTTGATTTTTAGGAAGGTAGGTTAAAGAGCACAAGGATTTTTCACTTCCTTAAATCCCTAAATATAATACAAAGAGATTTTATTACTTTAAAATCCCAAAAGCTTGATTTTTAGGAAGGTAGGTTAAAGAGCACAAGGATTTTTCACTTCCTTAAATCCCTAAATATAATACAAAGAGATTTTATTACTTTAAAATCCCAAAAGCTTGATTTTTAGGAAGGTAGGTTAAAGAGCACAAGGATTTTTCACTTCCTTAAATCTTGTCCTTTCTCAATAGCATCTTTGCATTTATTTATAGACTTAAAATATGAACTTCAATAAATTTAAGATTCAGACTTAAAAGTTACGGTAATGGTTGTTGTCACAAATTGATTCAATATCATTGCACCTAAAATATTACTTTTATCCAAATTTAATAATACAAAATGTCACTTTTGTCTCTATTTAACTTAGTAGATTTTGAGATGGGAGATAGATTTTAAATTTGAATTTCAAATACTCCTCTTTCATCATTTGATAACTATGAGATTACTAATGCACATATTAAGCTTTTCTTTTCTTTTTTTTTTATTTCTCTTTCATCATTTGATTTACTTTATTCCTTTGAACTATATAAAACCATTCCCTTTTTTGGCTTAGCAATTGTTGGCCCTCTTTATTGCTTTGTGTATTTTCAATATTTATCTTTCTTTTCAACAATGAATGCTTATTGCAACAGAAGTAAATCCAAATTTTATGTAGTTTTTCAGGGAATAAAATTTGAGATATATAAATCTTCGCAAGAATGCTCCTAACACATTTCAGGCATCAGCCAAATTATGTATAATGCTTACGAGACAATGGATGAGGATTTGGAACTTACGATTTGTTTAGTGAATCAAACAGTTTTAGATGTCATCAAGAATCTACGAGTTTTAGTGTTGCTAAGATTCAACAAGATGAAGGTAAGACGGTCACATGCAATGGTGAAATTGAAGTACCAGTAGATAATCATCTTCTTCGCTCAAATATCATTGCGTGTGATTGGGATGTCAATAGAGGGATAGTAGATGCTAGAGTACACTCTACATGAAGATTGAATTCAGATAGTCCTAATTTTGATTCTGTAAAAGTTTGTATTGTTAGAAATTTATTTATTTGGGCTTATTGATTGTGTTTTATTTGGTTGTATAAAATATTTAGGTTAAGCCTTATAATCCAAAAGGTCTAATTCAAAGCCCATTATTAAAGAGTGATCATTAAAGTATTGATGAGCCAGTTAAATGTGTTAGGGTTAAATGTGGTTAAATCCTCACTTGGGTTAGGATTATATATTTATTAGGGTTAGGATTATATATTTATTAGGATTAATGATGGGTGACCCTAATAGTCTCATATATATAGGCTATATTATCTCTCTCTAGTCTACACCGTAAAAAAAAAAAAAAAAACATAAAATTATTCTCCACCCATTGGGAGTTTGTAGATATAGGGAGGAAACATCTGACCGTTCCACAGACAATTGTGCATGGCTGTTTCTATTTAGTTCAACCTAACTTTTGGGATTAAGATGATGTCAATGGAAACAGACAAGAGAGCCTGCAAATTATTTTATTTTCTGTAATTTCAATTTATATATGAATATCTTAGGCACTTAAATTCTTATATGTATGGGATTCATCTTTGGAATTTTAGTAGAGATTGTTTGTGGTTTATCTTTTACTGTATAATTAGGAGGAGTAATGCCTTTTGATTGATTAGTGGTATTGGACAGTTTGAAATCCTATGTGTATCGATAGAAATGTGATAAGAAGTTGAAGGCAAAATAGAAATGGGAAAAAATGGTTTGGAATAGTGAAATTCGTACTCAAGTGATATATATATAATCTAATTACGCCCTTTGTTGACATAGTATAGTTTGTTTTTGTGTCTTAGTAATTTGGGTATATGACGTTAATATGCTAATTGTGAGATCTTGCCTGAGCACCATTCCAATTAAGGAAATTGAAACGCTAATTTGGACTAGAACTACACGGAAAAAGCCTACTTAATTTGACTGAAAGAATATATATATATTCAATGGAAAAGTGCACTAAAACTCGAAAACCAAAGAGGATTCGAAGACTAGATTTTCGGTTTAAGGAGAATAAATCAATTGGCTCACAATTAAAACATGATTTGAATGAAAACAATTTTCATGAGCAATTAATATTATGCATGGGCGTATAAATTATGCATGAACAAATATTATAAGCAAGATAAGTAATATTCATCCATGAAAGCAATAAATAAAATTAAATAATTGTAGAGAGTATTATCTCTAGTAGGATAATCACACATCTCCCAATGACAATAATAAAACAATAATAAAATAGGAATCAAATAAAATAATAAGAGAGTAACAACTCTAGCCCCTTTATATAGAGAGATTCTAAGCTCATCACATATCTCTCAACAATAACAATTAAGTTTTAACAACAATTATTTCAACTATGATTATAATCATCCTTGCAGCAATTATAATTATCCTAGCTTAACATTTCCATTTATCTTTTTTTTTTTTTATAAATTTTTAAGCATATATATATATCCTTAACATTTCCATTTTATCTTTTTTTTTTTTTTTTATAAATTTTTAAGCATAATTATAATATTATATATATATATATATTATTATAATCTAAAACTTTGGAATAATTAAAACTTTTAAAACTTTTGATTTTTTTGAATTTTTATATAATCTAAAACTTTGAATAATTAAAACTTTAAAACTTTTGATTTTTTGAATTTGAAAATTTAAAACTTTTAAATATTTTTCTTATGTATATCTACATATATATTTTTCACAATGGTTTTGATTTTTTTTTAGAATAGTTTTTTTCTTTGTTTTTTTGTTTCTTTAAATTATGTTGTTTTCAAATTTTTGGATTTTGATTATGCTTTAGAAATTTTTTAACTTTTATTCTTTTTTTTTTATTTTGATATGTATTGTTATTATTATTTTTTTCATATTTTGAATTGCAAAATGATAATAGCAACTTTAATTGATCTCTTCTTCTTCAACTGAGATAATGTCAATTCTCTAATTTTTTTTTTTCTCTTTTTCATGCAAGAAGAAGTGGAGATAGAGGCAAAAACATGAGCAAAGAAAATGAATAGTAAATAGGAGTTTTTAGGAAAATAGATTTTTTTTTTTTTTTTGATCTTTGTACAATTAGTATATCATGTTGAGTATGTTTAGTAATAATTTTTCAATTCATCCATGTAGTTTTATATTTATAAATGAAATGTCAGTATTTATTTATTTGTTTATTGATTTATTATTATTATTATTATTATTATTATTTTGTAATTTCTTTTACCTGTTTTGCTTGCCTGGGTAGAAGATTAAAGAGACATCACATTAGTTATACAGCAAAGAGAACATTTATATAATTGATTTAAAAAAAGAAAAAATATTAATTTACTAAATACATT